GGGGCCAATCCTGCCACCCCCCCCCGGCCCCACACTGCGTGGGGGGCTCTGCATAAGCCCCCAAAGCCCCGAGGCTGCTGCAGGAGCAGCGAGTCCTGGGGCTTTTCTTGTTTTGTTTTTTTCTTAAAGGGCCACAGCCCCAGTGGGCGGGACACCCATGGGGGGGGTTGGGGAGCTCATGGCAGAGCCCCCTGTGCAGTGTGGGGTAGCAGGGATTGCCCCCCACCTGGCAGCAGCCAGTGAGCACCAGGGCTTTTAAGTACTGAGTTGGGGCAGGCAGGGGCAGCCATGGAAGGGGCTGGGGCAGCAGGCGGGGTCAGGGTGGCTGGCACGGGTCCTCCCCACTTCCCCAGGCCCCCTCTTCCATCCCTAGTACTTATAAGCTCAGAGTGGATGCAGCTCCATGCTGCAGCCACCAGGGACCATTCGAATTAAAGCTCTCCGAATCTTTCCCAAAGATTTGGAGAGCTTTGAATCAATTTGGACTTTTAAAATTGGTCCCCTGATTCAATTCAGATTTGGAGATTTGGCCAGCAAATCGGGCCAAATCTCCTTCAAATCGCATCACCACCCAAAGCTTCACACAACCCTAATAGGCAGCACAAGTGGCACAGGCAGCATATGTATGGGGCACGCAGCAGACCAGGGAGGGGGCAGGCAGCACAATGACAGATAGGGTAAGAAGCAGAAAGCAAAGCAGCAAATAGGGTAGGGAGCACAAGGAAGAAAAGAAATGCAGAGCAGCAGATCTGGAAAGAAGCACAGTGCAGACAGCAAGAAGAGCAGCAAATCATGCCGGGGAAGAAAATCAGAGTGGCACTTGGGGAGGGTGCATGGCTAATTTGTGGCACCTGCCAAAAGTTTGGCCCCACAGAACTAGATGACCTTCTATCCCTACTTTTCTATTATTTTGATTCTGCTTGTCAATTAATTCACACAAATCCACAGTATTTTTATATACTGCTCTGAAAATGCTGACTATTCTTGCCTTTAATATTTCATTATCCCTTCTCCCCCCTTCCTTCCGCAGGAAGTGCTGTGTGGCACTTCGTAATTATCTCAGCCCAAAAACAAGGCTTCTGCAAACCAGGGTCCATGCTAACTGTACAGTCAAGCAATGGAGTTGGTCTGGCTAACAGTTCAAGCCAAGCCTTGCAGTAAAATATACTTATGCCCATTGCCAAGTGCTCACTCTCTGCCAATTTTAATGGACAGCCTTCCAGGAATAACACATCCGCAGAATAGTGGCAGTGTAGTGAAAAACGTCAATGGCATTTTGGAGATGACAAGAATAGTACATGTGCTGCATGTTGATTAATAATAGAGGGCAGCAGATTTTTACAGATCCAGTTAAAGACTGTCCTTAATTCATGAACCTTCAGGAAAGTAGAGCTGGGATAGAGAGAGAAGTAGATCCCTAAAGCACAGCGTGAAAGGGGTGTGACAGTGGAGTTAAGGGCTGAGCATTGCAGCAAGACTGCAGTAGAAATGAAGTCTAGGAAAAGCAAGTGACCTGAAGGAAGAATATAAGGAGCAAAAAGAGTAATAGACCTCTCCCACTGCTCTAAAGAGCCATTTTTTAGATCAATGGGTTACATGATTCCTTTGGATTTAGGCTACAAAATGACTTGGGGAATTTGTGTAAATTCTCCTTAGAATCTTTTCTTGCTTCAACTAGTCCCTCCTGCTTACTCGGAAAGAGATTAATGAGGTGAATGGCAGATTTATTGCTGACAGTCATTGTTCTTGTCACTAAAAACAAGACACATGATTTGTATGCACATACAAGTGAATAAAACTTGCTTAGTAAGCATAGTAATTGATGGTGCTTCACTCTTGTTCCATCTTGCCTGGTGCCTGGTCACCTTCTGCATTCTTGTTGCTCCAGACATGGGTCCTGCCCATCTTCCCCCCCCCGCCCCCAATCAGTTCTGAATAATCAATCTGATAATTTCTTCTCTCAGTTCCAGATCTCAATGCAATCAGATATTATCTCAGCACTGTAGAGTGGGAGAGGCATTCCAGGCCTCCAGGCCCAACCCTGGGAGCAGGGCAGTGCCAGACCCCAGTGCCTAAGACAGCCCATGGACCCACCCAACACCACTCATCTGGCCCGCGGGGCCGAAAGGTTGAGCACCATTGAAGTAGCTGTTGCTAAGCTTCCTGGACTTATGACCCCATTTTGTTGGCTCCCAGTAAGAGCCATCCTTTCCCATTTTATTTCCACGGGGTTTGGGAACCCACATCAACCTAGAGGACACACACTATAACCCTATGGTTATGACGCTCCTCTGAGAGGGAGCAAGTCCACACTATTAGGGCTGTTTCAAAGAATCATGGAAAAACTGGGCTGGACTATATTACAGCACCCCTACCCCATTACTAGGAAGGCAGAGAGGTTTAGGGTTTGCTCTCACTGCTACCAAGTCTTCCCTTTTTACTTTCATTCTCCACCTTTGCTACAGCTGCTGCAGAAACAACCTTTCCCGTTTAGTTTCCTAGGGTGCCACCTTCTCATCCTCCCCCTGCCCCCCTCTCCCTACACATCTGTTCCTTCCATTTACCTTTTCCATAGGGTTTGGTTTAATTGGATTCTGGGTGTTGCCACAGTTCACACACAGGCTGGGGATGTGACCAAGAGGATGATCAGGTCCAGGTCCATACAGAGCATGATGACCCAAGAGGCAGAAGAGAAGGGTCGGGTGATCCAGAGCCTGCTACATAAGCCGCCACCAGAAGCTAGAACAGGCCCAGACTGGGAGCCACTAGGGACAGAACCCTTCCTGGGAAGTGCAAGGACCAAAGCCTCAACTGCAGGAGGACCTAGAAGGAAACCCCAAGTGAAGGGGATCTGTAGACAAATACTGGAAGAGAGCCAAGTACCCCGTGCATTTTTTGTTCCTGGACTATGACTGAAGGAGAGGCAGGGCCATGGAAGCAGGGAACTGGCAGACACCCTGAACTTGAAGCTCAGCCAAGCAGGCAGGGTGTAAGGACTGGGGTATGTTCTGGGACCACTAGCAGTTGACATGGTAAGTATAACAAATCCTGGAACCTGGCATCACAAAGCATGACCAAAGCCGAGCACAGGAGCCAGCAGCCCTGGATACTGGACCCCAAGTCAGACAACTTAGCTGAAGTGGGATAGGAACTCCAGACCACAGAAGGGCCCACTTCTTCAGAGCATGCCTTGGGAAGCCTCCCCTACTGAGCTTACATCTAGATGTGGCATACAGGAATACTGAAAAGGAGAAGAGGATACTGGGTATGGACAGTGGGAAGCCTCTGAGAAGGCAGGAACTCAATAGTGACACCCACAGGATGCCTATAGAAGGGAATTAAAGAAGTCTTCAAGACCAATCCTCTTGTTAAGGTGGTATCATTCTTGTTAGAATTAGTATATCCACATTTTTGTCATACTTGCT